AGCCTTGCTAGCAGAGTAAATAGAGTGGTATAATGGTGTTCACACACTGAGCAGCATCAAAACAAAACAGATTAAGGGTCTCTCAGCAACCTAAAACCTTTTGTAATACAAAAAAGCCAGTTTATTAGGCACACTTAATTTGATCACTCCAGCACAACAAACACTAACAAGCCATATTGGCGTCACTGTTGTGCTGAGAAAGGCCTACTCAAATAACATCTGGTTACCAGCGATTCCATGGTGGTCTCTTTCCATTTGTGGATGGGGTAGAGGGGGCCAACATTTTGTGCAGAAACAGATGGGCCACAGTAACTGAAAACCTACAAAGTGCACCAATATGCATGTACCTGATAAAATCACCAGTATATCTTGAAGGTAGTTGTGCCTAATAAACTGGCTACTCAATGTAAACCATACATTTTCACTGCCCAATCGTTGGTCTTCTCTGGACTTGCAGACATGCGAACTTTAAGTGCCAGTTATGGAAAAAGATCACAGGGAAAGGTATGTGATGTATCAAATAAAATTTGAGGAGCTCCAAAAAATGTAAAATACTAATATTTTTTTCTTTGTTCAAAGGAGCACTATGTAAGATTTCTTTTTTGTTAAAATTGAAAGAAGTACCATTACTGAGTCAGAAGGAAAATAAAGAACTAACAATATGGCGTGTGTGCGAAGTTGATCACCACCTGACTGCAGCTGAGACAAAGCTTAGAAGCTCAGCCAACAATGACGTGAACACAAATTGTGTTGATTAGAGCACATAGCATATTCAAATGTGTACTGTCAGAAGCGTTATAAAGGAGGAGACTGGTCAGTGATTGAAAAATCCCACCCTTCAAGAAAAAGAACCAATCAACTTGCCGCTAAAGCTGCTAGCAGTAAACCCCCCACTCGTTGCTGAGATCTGCACCAGCGCAGTAGCTAGAACAACCCAAAAAACATTTTTTTTTTGTGCATTATTTGAGCCAAATAAGGTGTGGTAGAGCAGAGAACATGCCTTCTGTGCAATGCAGTGTTGCAGCTCTCAAGGACTTCAGTGTGCTAACCATTGGTTAGATAGTCCAGTATTCTCTTCCCTTCATGTTCTGATATTTTTGTGTCCGAGTGGGATTGTGTTTTTTGTCCTTAAGGAAAGGGATGGAACCAAAATAGTGTGCTCCCAACAAAATGTATAGTCTCCCTTCTCTAGCAATACCTTTCACGCAATGGTGATCCAGAAGGAAATGCAATTCATAACAACAACCAGGCCGTAACAGTAACCAGAAGCTAAATAGATTCATCCATAGACGCATAGCGTTATTGTAACTAAAGCGGTCAGCCATCACAGCTGTATGCAATTTTTGTTCTTTTGATCGATACAAAAATCAGACTTGTTCAGGTTTGAGAGATGAACCAAGCTTTGAATTCATCTGCAGCATTTAATGCTGGTAGCTCACGCAACAATAGAAACCATTTACTGTGGAGATGGCTTGAAATTTCACTCTCTGCTGGCTGACAGTAGCGAGGGTGTTGAGGAAGCTTGGCGATAAAGGACATTTGGTTGTATTCAGTCCGTCCAAGAAAGCCTTACCTCATTAAGAAACTAATAGGCCATAGAAACGTTCTCTGGAATAGCATCTAGAAAGACTCTGAAACCATGCAACAGAAAATGAGACAAAGATAGAAGAGAGAAAAAGAGTGGCGGAGAAAGAGAGAGACGGAGGAGGAAGAAGAAAAGGAAGAGTGGGCCACATCAAACACCCAGCTGTATTTACACTATCCATTGGATGTTTGGCAGACATCATTTTCCTTGCATGCATGCTGTATTCTGTTCTGCTTTATGTTGAGGTTCTACACTTTTAATCAGTGTTACCAAGAAATAATGAGGGTTTTTCAGCTTCATGCACAACACCCTTCCTGACCTCTTGACCTCCCACTGTAGAGGCTCAGCCAAAGCGAGATGCATGAACGAGCACTCCACACATGCTGGACCTGCTGACCTCAAGGAGAAGAAATGTGTGTGTGTGTGTGTGTGTGTGTGTGTGTGTGTGTGTGTGTGTGTGTCTATGTGTGTGTGTGTAAAACCACTGAGGCTCAGATCTAAATAAGTCTGCTTTTTCTTAGAGGCTATACTTTTACTTATTGACCCAAAGACCTAAGTATATACTCATAAATCACTGTTGGACTGTGCAGTTCTGATTCATGGATCAAAGACAATACAGCTTTAAGCATGGTATTAAAATATTACATTTAAAACTTTACCAATGTATTTTGTTCACATACATTGACTTGATGACAATGGGTCAGCATACAATTAAAATTAGGACCCCCCTGAAAACCTTTGCCTTTTTTTAACATATTTATAAGTATTCGGGCATTTGATCTTCATTTTAACAATATTGAGAGATGGAGGTAATATAACTTAACAAAACTGAGGAAATGTCTTTGAAAAAATATTTTTTAAATAATAATAAGTGTAATTAATAGAACTGCAACTTTCTTGTGAGCCAAAAATTAGGACAGCCCACATTTATTACTACTTAAAATGGCTAAAATTAGAATCAGGGGCACCACATTAGCTGCAAATGACTAGAACATCATTAGAGGGGATTTTGGAGGAGCCTGTCTTTTTTAAACCTCAGACATTTGGTTTGCTCTTGATTGTTGAAGTGAGTGGTGTCACCATGGTGAGATCCAGAGAGCTCTCTGAGGCCTTCAGAAAGAAGGTTGTAGATGCATATAAGCCTGGGAAGGGACTGAAAAAGATCTCAGAACAATTAGAAATGTGCCATTCCACTGTTCAGAAAATAATTTACAAGTGGAGAACATTTAAAACAACTGCCAACATGGCCAGGTCAGGCTGTCCCAGCAAGTTCAGCCCAAGAGCAGACCACAAGACGTGTAAAAAAAGTCTCCAACAATTGTAAAATGTACCATCAGAAAGAGACTGCACACATTTGATTTTCATAGGAGGTGTGCAAGGAGGAAGCCTTTGCTGTCAAAAAACATCAGGGCAAGACTAAAGTTTGCCAGAGGACACCTAGACAAAGGCCAGGACTTCTGGAATAATGTGCTTTGGACAGAGGAATCCAAAGCTAAATTATTTAGGCACAGTAACAGAAGATATGTTTGGCAAGAACCTCATACCAACTGTGAAGCATGGAGGTAGACATGTCATGGTTTGGGGCTGCTTTGCTACAGCAGGACATTGCAAGCTCTCTATCATAGAATCCATGATGAATTCTTCATTGTATTGGAGGGTGCTTGAGGAAAATGTTAAACTATCTATCCAAAAACTGGAGCTGATGCGGAGGTGGACCATGCAACATGACAATGACCCAAAACATTCCAGAAAAAACACCAAGGAATGGCTCAAAAGAAAGAAATGGAGAGTTCTAGAATGGCCAAGTCATAGCCAGATCGTAATCCTATTGAGATGCTGTGGGGTGATTTGAAATGGGCTGTGCATGCAAGAAACACCTCAACCATCACATAGCTGAAAGAATTCTGCATGGAGGACTGGCAGAAACTTTCTCCCAGTCAATGTCAGAGACTGTTAATAGCAAACGACTATTTGATATTATTTCAGCCAAAGAGGGAAATACCAGCCATCAGGGCATAGGGTGTTCAATTTTTTTTCCTCAGTATGAATTGCCATCTTATTTCATTTTTTTGTTAAATGAATGATAACAAAGCCAAATTTTCATTGTTTTTGCAAAGGTGATGCAATTACATCACCTTTGTCTATAGGTATTGTTTGAAAGAAGATCAAATATTGATATGTCCATATTTCTTAATAAAGAACTAAATATTTAATAGGGTGTCCTAATTTACATTACATGACTGTATGTAATATCTGTGATGTAGTAAAAAGGTTTGCCAGCAGTTGTTAATAAAAGTAGTGGAACAAGAAGCCAGTTTGTTGCTTGTTCTTATGTCTTGCTGAAGTAGGTAACCCAATCAGTTTTAGGTTATAGGCATAATGACAGCTGTCAAGTTTCCTCTCTAGAGGTAACTGACGGGAATTTAGATGGGGCCATATTAAGTTGGTCATTTTACGACAATTGTTTACTTTTAAAGGTACTGTTTATTTTAGATCACATTACATCAGTGTACATTTAAGTAGTTTGCTAGCAGAAACTCCAGCAGGGGTTTAAAGTTGCAACTCCTGTTACTGGCTCTCAGGATCAAGGCTCTTAACATTGTGCATATTCAGTAAGCAATGAGGTGCACATGAGCCATTTCAATTCCAGAATGAGAGTGCACAAATATGGTGTTGAACTGTGAATACATATGCATGACAAGGCTTTACTGGGTCATATGAATAACCTAAAAGACATTCTAGAGATCTGTTCATGCACTCATCATTTCACTACACTGATATCTGTAGATCATGAGACTTTTTTGCTATTTTAAATTGAAATCTTTTAGCAAAACCTGAAGCTCAGTTTAAAAAATTGGGGCCAGACTTGTTGGGACTCTTAACTTGTCATGTCACTTGTATGGAATGTTAGTTGATTCCAAATTTAAAAACAGGCTTTGGCTTATTCTCAGCTTTTAGAAGTCTTCGATAAGGTGAATATGACATGATTTACCTTATCTCTTTTTAAAAACTTGCAGACCCAATGTCCTCATTTGCAGCTCACCCTAGAAGCAGTGCAGCAGGCAACAGTTACCCAGACATGTTTTAGAGCTCTATCTCTTTGTTCTTATTTGTTTGTAGTTTCTGGTTTAATCACAAAATCAAGCGGAATAGCTGAAGCTCTGGCAGGGCAGAGAGGGAGAGAGAGAGAGATTAAACCATAAACATGGGAGTAGCTTCCTTTTTAGTAACAAAAGGAAAGAAAAGTGCTTCACAAAACATTTTAGCTATGAGCGCTGATGCAGGGGCAGACTAGAGCAAAGAGTATGAAAGATGCTGCGTTTATTAAAATGCATCTGCATGCCAATCTTTTAAAAGGATTCTGAGCCATTTAATGAGCTGTCTCACTCTTCTTTTTCTTTTGTTTGACAGAATTATGGGAGATGTGCAGCTGGTGACCAGTTCTCGCATCTCGAAGAGCAGCCTGACCATGGGGAGAGGCTCTCAGAGTAATGAAGCCCCAGCCTTTACCCTGCCTCCTCGCAATGCCCGTGTGTGTCTTGGGGGCACTGCTCGTCTTGAGGGCAAGGTACAAACAACCCATTGAACTCTGTTCTCACTAGCATTTTGTCTGTGCTTTTGAATAGTAAACATGGACATTAAGCATTGCACAGCTATGAGTACATATACAAATACATATACAAGTATATACTTGGATATACATATACTTATATATACTTGTGGCCTGTAATTGTAATAATACTTCACAAAACGACTTTCATAAACTAAAAAGTGGGATAGAATATATAACAAGTAAACTAACAGTACACCTATAGGTTCAATTTTAGTATAGTTCACAGTAGGGGTTGCACAAACACAGTCTAATCTCCTTTAGTGCTCAGCGATGATGCTTTAAGCTTCATATCACTGATCACGTGATTATGACAATAACAACATGGACGAGGCGACAGAAGACAGAAGAAGATAGAAGACAACAGGTGAGGAGCCTGGTGATTTTGGGGTCCATATCTCTAGTTTCCTGAAGGCTACCAATGCTCTACAGACCTTTGGAGTTTGGCTTTGTCACAGATTTTGTCACAGAAGTTGCTTGTTGCAAAACATTCGCTGCAACTGTGGTTTTATTCATGACTTCATCGGTGATTAGTTGACATCGACTCGATTTTCATCACATAACTGTCAACTTCAAAAACTCTTCACTTATAATGTAGTTTACAGTATAGTTGCAGTACAAAATAAAACTTAGATGTAAACTAGTTGTGTACTCATGCCTGATGCATACTACTCTCATGTGTAAAGTATACTTAAAAGTGTGCTTTTTTTAAACTAAAAACTGGGCCAACTTAGTCCCAAGAAGTATTGAAATAGTGCACTTACACATTTACCACTGGTACATTGATAGTATGATATTTACTACATAAAATATGCTTGGGAAATGTACCTGAACTTTACTTAAGTGTACATAATAAAGTTAATTTTAAGTATCCTTTTTTATTAGGGAAGGCAGGGGTGCTTAGTCCTGGTCCTGGAAATCTACCACACTGGGGAGTTCAGACCCAACACACCTGGTTTTAATATTCACATTCCGCTAAAGGCCTTCATTACCAGGATCAGGTGTGTTAGATTAGGGCTGGAGCTAAACTCTGCAGAGGGGTTGATCTCCAGGCCCAGGATTGGGCACCCTGGGTGTAGGGTGTTGTCCATCAGATAGGCTTTATGGATTGGTAAATATGAGCATATATATATCACCTTAAATTCAATATAAATATGTTAGGGGTGGGAATCTCTAGGCACCTCACGATTTGATTCGATTACGATTCAGAGGGCTGCGATGCGATTATAAAACGATTATCGATGCATCTCAATGCATCTTTTTTTCTATACATGATTTCCATTTTCCTACTGTCTGAGGACTTGGTACTTTTAAAGCTAAGTATTTGTAATGATCCATAATGCATTTATGTCCAATATCTTTTATTAGTAAAACAAATGGAAGTGATGTGGCAAGTGAACTAGAAGGCTCTCATTCACCGTTCTTTTTTGGAGACGCTGCTGCCACTCATCTGCGATAAAATGCGCTGTTATGGTGAAATAAGATCCAGTGGTAGTGGATGACCACGCTGCACGTTACAGCCGTCCTGCCCGTTTTCTTTAGAGATTTTATAACTTCGGTGCGAAGATGAAGTCGCTTCTCTTTCTAATTTTCCCGTTCCACCTTAAATGGTGCCGCATTTACCTTCGGCGCTTCAGTCAGAATTTAAGGTGAAACGGGAAAGTTCAGCAAGAAGCTGGAGAATGAGAAGCGACTTCAGCCTAGTAAAACAGCCAAAAGCTGAAAGACATTTTATAAGAAACTATTCAACTTTTGAGGAAAAGTTTTCTGGCGGAGACGGAAGAAAAGCGGCTATAGCTAAAGCTTAAAGCAGAGTAGAGTAAGTCCGCGTTTTCGTTTATATTGTTTAGTCTATACTAGGACATTAACACATACTGAGACATACTGGACATTAAATGTTGTGGCTCCCAAGGTGGTTTGATTTTTGTTGAAAGGACAAAATGTCTCTTCTTATCATTTGTGTTGTGACTCCTGACCTAACCTGGCTTTTAATGCAGAGGAAGCCGGTCGGATTTCTCGCTTATCCAGTTGTGTTTTTGTTATGTGCCGCCACGGACTCATTAAGATGAATATTTTTCGTTTTGAGTGAGATCTACCTGAAGTATATTTCCAGTCATATGTTTTAAAGTTCACCTGAGCAATTACCAACACTTACATGGTCAGCCATGATTTCCTAAATATATATATGGCTCTACTAGCCAAATTCACTCAGTCACCCATCACTATGAAGACCAGAGAATACAGCACTGATGTGCCACAAAAGGTTGTTGAGCTGCACAAATCAGGAAATGGCCGCCAGAAAATATCTAAACAGTTGCAAATGCTTGTTTCCACTATCAGATCAATCATTTAGACATTTTAAGCAACTAGAGATGTTAAGAATCTGCCAGGAAGAGGTTGTATGTCTATACTGACCACACGAACAGTGAGGAGGATGGTTCAAGTGACCAAAAAAATTTCCAAGGATCAGAGGTGGGGAATTGCACGCATCAGTTATGTCTTCCAGACTACATTTGGACACCACCTACATGTGGTTACAAATTGTTTTGGAGGGTTGCCAGAAGAAAGCCTTTACTGTCAAAGACCCTACAGTTTTTCAGACATTACTGGAACTTTCAGTAGGACTGTGTCTTCTGGTCAGATGAGACCAAAACAGAGCTTTTTGGCAACAGACACCAGAGGTGGGTTTGGTGTAGACACAAAGATAGCCATACAGGAAAGTACCACATCTCCACTGTGAAGTATGGTGCTGGATCTGTGATGTTTTGGGGCTGTTTTTCATCCAAAGGCCCTGGACAGTTTGTTCAGATATATGGTATCATGGACTTCATCAAGTAGATATTAAAGCAGATATTAAATCAAAACCTGAATGCTTCAGCCAGGAAGCTTAACCTGGGCTGTGGTTAGATCTTCCAGCAGGTCAGTGATCCAAGCACACCTCAAAATCAGCACAAAAACTGTTTATTGACCACAGAATCAAGGTTTTTACCATGGCCATGCTGCAGAGGAGTCTTCAAGTCGCCAATATCAGCCATGCTGTATCCTTCTTAATTCTACTTAGTCTAATTGTGAATCACTAACTGGGTTTGCGCTGATTCTTTGCAGTCTGCTCCTCACACTCCATGAGCAAACACAGAGGAAATTCAAATAATAATAATAATAATAATAATAATAATAAAAAACCCTACAGAATCAGCCAGTGTGTGCAGTCTGGAGCCAGAAAGAGACACACACAATGTGGGAGTTAAGTCTGTGGGATTGAAGTGTGGTGTGGGGTGGTGTAGGGTGGTGTGTGGGGGGGTGGTGGTTAGCCTTGTCTTCACTTCTCAGACATATTGTCAGGGAGCACCCAGCCTTAGACAGACTTAGTGAGCACACACTGTGGGAGATGTTGGCAGAACATGGTGCTCCAAAGCCATGAAACTTTCAGCACACCGAGCAACAGGCAATCTAGTGGGAATGCACTGTAAAACATCTCTAAAATGTCCTGAGAAGCATGTGATGCAACCTACTATAAATTCTAATAGGCTCCAAGCCACACCTTTTTATTTTTCAGATTTATTTTATTCAAACATTTTTAAATAAAATAAATACTGACATATTGTTTGTGCTGAATATAAACATTTACTCCACTGTTTTTTTACAAAACCAAGGGTATTAATTATATGCCCCCCACACATTTACACTAGATGTTAGTACATTGCTTTGAAGACTCATCGTCATCTGGACGCCCCATAAACTGGAATATCTCTTGTTGCACATGCAGTGCTGCAACCCTGCCGCACTACTGCAGTGTTCCACATGCTTTACAGCACCATGTCTAAGTACTTTACCCTGAAAGTGCAGTGGCTGCTCGTTGTCCAGGTCCTCTGTCAACACTGAGATGGCACAGAAGTGGACAGCAGGCACTTTAAGTCTTTAGAGTACAGGGGAAAAAAGGGAGAGAGCCAAGCAGAGCTAAGATGAGCAGATGTACAGAGAGGTCCTGGAAGAAGGATGTACTCTGCTTTTCAGCCTTTATTGCACTTACTTAAGGAGATGATAAGCACCAGGCTAAGTAGCTGCAAAGTACCAGCCAGAAATATGAATAATAGCCAGTACATTTGGCTGAAATACTGCTTGGTGAAAAGCTCGAAGAGAATATTAGTTAAAAGTCTTCGACACTGTATGATGCTTGCATGTATGGGTAACCATATGTCCAAAAAGTTGGTAGAGACCTGCTCATTCAAGTGTTTCTTCTAACATAAAGGGTATTAATAAGGAGTTTGTCCCCTTTGCAGCAGTAATAGCATCTACTCTTCTGGGAGGCTTTATCCTAGATGGTGGAACATTACTTTGAGGATTTGATTGCGTTCATTCACAAAAGCATTATTGAGGTCAGGTACTGATGTTGGATGAATCTTTCTGGATCACAGCTTGTCTCAAAGGTCTCAGATGGTGCTTTATCACTCCAGAGAACACAGTTCCATTGTTCCACAGCCCAATGCTAGGGAGCTTTATGCCATTCTAGCTGACACTTGGCATTGGGCATGGTGACCTTAGGCTGATGTGCAGTTGCTCCATTGTCCTATTCAGTTGGAAATGCTTTTCTTTGGAGAAAATACATTATAAGTTATGTATGTGCAATTGAATGTCTGTGTCAGCAATGGGCGCACATTTAAGTACTAAATTTACTAATTAGAAGCGGTGTCTAGGTATGCATATAATGTTGCAAAAGTCAGAGACCATTCTTAATTTTTTAAATTTCTAGTCAAAATAGTCATCAAGTACCAGTTATTCATTTCTTCATTTTTCAGTACCAAGAATAAAGCAGAAAACAAAATATACAGAAAATTACATTAGTCTCAGCAACTCAATCTATAATTTTTCAGTATTTAGTTTTTTTTTTGTTTTTTCTTTTTTGTCTTTTTCATTTTCTCAGTAACAGCTTCTTGAAAGCTATACACATTTATTAGAGC